ATACAGGCAACAAAGTAATTAAGATATTTTCTCACAATGGCCACTTTCTACGTAAAATTGGCGAAGAGGGTTCTTTTAACAAACCCTGGCATTGTGTCCAATATGACAATTATCTTATAGTATCAGATAGTGGTGAAAATTGCATAAAAGTATTTAATAAGGATGGAAACTTTTTGTACAAATTTGGAAAGAAGGGGTATGGTGACGGGGAGTTCAACCAACCTCGTGGCTTGTCAGTTAACAAAGCAGGACACCTGATGGTCTGTGATGACGAAAATCACAGAGTTCAGGTGTTTAAACTGAGTGGCAAGTTTGTGACCAAGTTTGGAACAAAAGGCAGTGGAATAGGAGAGTTTAATGATGGCCCAGACTCTACAGCAGTTCTTAGTGATGGTAGGATAGTTGCACCTGACTGGGGGAACCATCGCATTCAGATCTTCGAGTAGATCGACATGATGCCCAGTCAGCTATCAGAATATACGAGGTAATTTTTAAATTAGAAATTTCTGACCAGTTTTCAGTCGAAAGTAGTGTGATATGAGTGACATACCTCTAGTACAACAGATAGTCTTAGATTACGTTTGAACTTTTGACTCTTTTCTGTTGGTTGTATAGTTTCCGGTTTTTACCACTGAAATGTACCAGCATGTTATGACAGGTCACGGCTCAGATCGATTCTGTGGCTCAACTATTCTAGATATTTTAAATTTTTTTCAAGATGTATTTAGATAGTTAAGAGGTCTGTGATTCTTTGATATGTGATCTTTTAAGTTGCTTTGTTATGAAAGGTAGAACTTCAAGTCTCAAGTGGTTGTCACCATTGAAGGGTCTGGATGGGGGTGATGTAATCTCAGTTTATCAGTTAAATTTTTGGTGATTTCTAAGCGATCATTTCAAATTTCTGCCTATGAATAAGCTGTCAGTAAAGTTTGCAGACCTCCAAACTCAGCTATCTGTTAAGAAACACTTTATTTCGTATTTAATTCTCAGGTATTTGATTTACTGGCCCCTCCAGACCCTCAATTTCAATCACTTCATTATTTGATAAGTACTTTTATAATTATGTTAAGTTTCCTAAGCAAGCATTATATCCTTGAATTTTTCTAATAAACAGTGTGACATTAGCAATTTTGCCTCGACAACATGGTTACCAACAAATAAATGATATCATACAAGCTTGTAGAGACTGAACTGAGTGTGAATATATTTTGTAATATTTTTCCCAAACTTTTCCGGCTTGATATGCTGTGCTCGTTGAGAATGTGGGCCATTTCCGTGTTGCCTTTTGCCTCTCTTCTGGCATGAAAGAGGAAATGTTGGCAGACGTGCTTCAGCAATAGACTGCAAAGCAGTCACGTTTTCGTCTGGAAATAACGACGCGTGACGGAATCACGCAATCTTGTCCCTGATTTCATATTTCCCTGTTTATTTTATGCTCATGTTCCATCGTATTATATCCTCACTGGCTATTACTTACCACATCGCGAAACTAAGTTATGGGCGAGATCCGCGGACTTTCTGTGGTAAGAGGTAGACAGCGAGGATACAAGGGGATGTCAACCAACACCAGGGGAGGAGGGTGGGTCGAACCTTGATCTGTCGTTTTCCCGGTCGGCGCCGTGACTCAATGAAATCATCACCACGTGGGGAATCCTTGCATCCCCAAGGATCGCGGAGCACTTTTATTGGACGTTTCACGATGCACTAATTAATTATTCAGTGAGAATAGTATGCAGAAGGAGCACCAATCTTGCAAATCCTTGAACAGTACGCAAGAGTGCGGCGGAACTTGGCCTTAGCCTTTTTGTGAAGAGAATGTGACTCGAAGGGACGAAAGCTTTTTTGCGCTCTCCTCCTCCCTTATATTTTATACTGAAACACTAAGTGTCGTTTTCCTTCTTCCCGCTCCATTCCCACTCCCTCCCTCTCCCACTTCCACGCAACCCCATTCCCTCCTTCTCTCTACAAGTGGAGGGTTATCTCTCGGCTAAACAATCTCCACACATTAATAAAGGTATTATTATTATCATTATCAATATCATCATTATCATTATCATTATTATCACTATCACTATCACAATCATTATCATTATCATTATTATCATTATTATTATTATTATTAGTTTATTATATGCTTATTTATTTAATTTGCCAACTTTAAAAATTAAAAAAAAAATAGACGATAACCGTATTTCCTCACGTAGATGTCTTTTTTTTTAGTTTATTTATTTATTTATTTATTTATTTATTTATTTATTTATTTATTTATTTAAAGTAACACGTCTTTAACAAATTACACGTATCACAAATTACAATAACAAAGTACTCTGGTATGGCTACTCCGATACTGCAATATGTATTACTTATTTGCACCAGGTGTTACTTACATTAGGAAAAAGAATAAAATAAAGTAATTAATTAATTAATTCTGACAACACGCATTAACTACAATTAAATCAAACAGGATAAAAAAACAAGAAAGAAAAAATAAGAGGAAAGGAAAACTTTAAATTACGTAGATGTTACAAATAATAATATTGGAACATTTAAATAGAACTGAACTGAAATGTTATGTTTTTGTAGTTTGTAAGTAGTTTGTAAGTGTACTTGACTGTCACACCATGTTGTAAATAGTGTTTGTATTTTGAAATAAGGCATATGCATAAATCAAAATACACGGCTAATGACCCTTTCCATGGAAATGGTCCATATGGCTAAATCCCGACCAAGAAAGAACCAGTCAGAGCGCTCGGATTTACTCAAGACTACCCGCACTATATAATAATCAGGAATATATTCTTATTTCGGATTTATTCCGTTTTTGGGTAGTGTAAAGACTTGATAAATAATATAGATGTCATAGAATGAAATGATGAAACCAAAGAATGATGGGAAGGTACTTTACTTTACACAGAACTTGCTAATTTTCATAATCAAATCGACTGGGATGCATTAAAGCGTCGCAACTTGCTATAGTAGTCTACTGTAATTAGGATGCGTTCGATCGACCCTCTTTCCTTTCTTGCTGACACAAAATAGTAGTTCCAATCTTTTCCCCATTGTTTTTAATAGATAGCTTCAGCAGAAAGCTGCCAAGGTAGTACTTCGAGAAAGGAAGAGTCATTTTCTGCAGGTAAGATTAAAACGCAACAAAGA